GTCATTTCAGATTGCTCATTAAGAGAGATGTCTCTGCTACACTTGTCACTTTTCTGTAGTTTTGCTTTGGGATGGCATAAAACAAAAAAAGTTTAAACGAACGACGCAGCTCCATGGATGTCCACAAGACGGCGACATAACATCACAAAAGGGGATTGCGGAGACTCGGTGCAGTGAGGTGTCGGACAACGGTGATAGGCTGGAACAGAGCTTTGGGTGGGACCTCATGCTGGAGGCGGGATTAGATCGGAGCCCGGATATTCGGGGTTGTCGGACAGCGTCGATAGGCTGAAAAAGTCAACTGGGCGGAACTAAATTGGTGTCGAAAACGAGGATAGGCTGAACCAGGGTATAGGCGGGACTAAGTGTAGGAGGCGGGATTAGGCCAGAGCCCGGATATTCGGGCTGGTAGACAATGCGGATAGGGTGGAAAAGTTGATTGGGTTGGATCAAGTGGGTGTCGGACAACGCGGATAGACTGGACCAGGGCTTATAGGCGGGATGAATTGCAAGGGGGCGAGATTGGATTTGAACCCAGATATCCGGGGGTGGCAGACATCGCGAATAGGCTGTATCAGAAATATGGGCGTGAACAAATTCTGGAGGCTGTTCAAGGTCAGATCTCGGATATCCGGGGTAATCCCACATCGTCGATAGGCTGAAAATGTCTATTGGGCGGGACCAAATGCTTGTCTGACAATGCGGATAGGCTGGGCCAGGGCTAAGGCGGGACCAAGTGTTAAGAGGCGGTACTAGATCAGAGTACGGATATTCCGGGTGGCCAAACAGTGCCGATAAGGTGGAAAACTGAATTGGGCGGGACTAAATGCGTGTTGGACAACGCCGATAGGCTGGATTAGGGCTATGGGCGGTACCAATTTTTGGAGGCGGTACTAGACCTGAGCCAGGAAACACGGGTATGGAGGAATACTCGGATAGGTTGGACCAAGTCTAAGGGCGGGACCAAGTTCTAGAGGCGGGACTAGAACGGGGCTCGCATATCCGGGTGTGGCAGAGAAAGCAGATAGGCTGGGAACAGGGATATGGGCGGGAGAAAGTGCTGGAGGCGGGACTAGACCTGAGCCAGGAAATCCGGGTATGGAGGAATAAGCTGATAGGCTGGACCAGGGCTATGGGCGGGTATGTTTGGAAATGCGGAAGGACTGGACCAATTGCTCGTGCCGAAGGGGGAGACTGTAGTGAGGCGTCGGCAAATCTTTGGGGCGCGGTGGGGCTCAGTTTAGGGCTCATTGGGTAGGAATCCGGGAACAACTTCTGGTTTTTTGTTTCACTTGTTCTTTTAAAGAAATATTTTTTATTGATTTCAGAGAAAGAGGAAGAGGGAGAAACAGAAACATCAATGATGAGAGAGCATCACTGATTGGCTGCCTCCTGAGGATAGAGCCCTCAGCCAGGCAAGTGACCTGAGCGGGAATCAAGCTGGGACCCTTCAGTCCACAAGAGGGCGCTCTATCCAGCGAGCCACACCAGCCAAGGCTAATTCATCCTTTAAAAAGTACTTTTAATGGACTTCACAGAGAGGAAGGAAGAGGGAGAGGTCCAGCCCGGCCAGGCACCTGCCCAGGAACCCAGGGGTTCGAGCGGGTGGACGGGGGAAGGGGTGAAGCCGTACAAAGTGGCCGTTACACAACAGTCAGGGCTGTAACGTGCAGCATAGGGACTGCAGACAGCTTTCTTCTGTCTGAAATCAGTTAAAACCGATTTTAAAAAAGAAAGCCATCACTATAGGACTTCCTCTCTGGCTCCTAGGTTTTTGCCCTACGAATGTGCAAAGGCTGACATTTCCTCCGTCCGGAGTGGGGGCCGGGGCTCCTCATTTCTGAAAGGAAAATGGGGACCACCGGATGGAGGAAGTAGAACATGAAACAGCCACAGACACTTCAAAGAATGGGCAAGACACAGCATGTGTCCCGCTGGAAATGTTATTTTATTTTAAAACACACTCAGGTTAATAAATATTGGAAAACTTAATAAATAGCCTTCTTATGTACATAAGGCAATCAATCACATGCTCGAACTACTGCTAGACAGCGGGACAGAAGCAGGTCTTAGCCGTGGACATGTGTGTGTGTGTGTGTACGCACGCGCGTGATAACTGAAAGCTCCTGGCACATGTACACAGAAACCCTGTGACACAGGCCATCCACCTTGTACGTGTTTCCATCTCCGTGTCTCCCTCCTTCATGATTATATCCCATTTCACAGGGAAGGAATGGCTATTTAAAAAGGCAAAAAAAAAAAAAAAAAAAAAAAAAAGACTGAGGAATGATACTTAAAAACAGTAGCCTTTTGTTCCCAAAGTGCAGAAACAGCGGCGTGAACGTGTGTGTGTTGGGGGCTGCTGTTCTGACAAATGGAATACCTTTCGCAGGCGACCCAGTCGTTGCCACTCGGGGCCCGGGAGCTCCTGACCCTCACCTGTGCCCGGCGGTTCGGTCGGGGGAGGCAGCTGGGGAGCAGGAGGCTCAGCTTCCTTTATGGCAAATCACTAGCCACCGCCCCTCCCGCCGAGTCCTCTACACAGGCCTGCAGGGAACTCACCCCACTGGCCCGGCCCTTCCTGCCCAGCCTCCGACGGGCCGTGTCACTCCCAGGGGGCGGCGGGGGCGGGAAACCCTGGCTTTTTAAAACAAAAGGGAGAGCGGAAGCTTCAGGGAACAACGCCAACGTCTCACCCAAGTGCCTGCCCTTTGCTTCGTCGGTGCTGGAAGCAGCACGGTCCTGAGCAGACGGGAGGCCGGGAGGGCCCCCCCGGCCACCGTCCACGGAGGCAGGCGCCCCGAGACAGGTGAGACCTGGGGAACCACCCCCCCCTTTTCGAGGTAGAGAAACGGAGGCACAGAAAGGCGAACGGAGAGATTCAGAGAAAGAGGAAGAAAAGAACGCCGACCCTCTGGGCCACGCTCTGGCCCTCGGCTGCGCCCGCGCCGCCCGGCCCCGGGGAGACAGACGTGCTGACAGTCCGTGCTCCACACGGCGTGTCCATTTCCTGCTGGATGGTGTGTTTTCTGATGGAACAAGCCGACATCTCCTAGGAATGGGATTATTCTGTTGCGTTGACGAGCACGTGAGGCATGTGCATGGGAAAACGTAGGTGAGAGGCCAGGCCTCCTCCCGTGTCCGTCCTCCTCCATCTGTTCACGCGCCAGACGGAGGTGTGAGTTCGCCCCGAGGCTGACGGGCGGAGGGTGCAGACAGCGAGGGGTGCTGTTCCCCCGCGGGCCCGCACGCGGCCATGTTCCCAGGACCAAGTCCGAGAGGAGGGCTTCCCGGGTGATGCTGGTCCCTGAGAAGGCAGAACGCCGTGCCGGCCGGTCCTGCTCGGCAGGCGGGGGCCAGGGCCCGGGAGCCCACCGGGCAGCTGGGAGGGGACTGGGCGCAGGCGCTTCCCTGTCCGGCTCCCCGCTCGGCCACAGGAGGCCCGCGCCAGGACCCGGGCGGTGTCCAAAGGGAGCCGGGGCAGAGGCCGGCCGGCAGTCAGAGCCTCTGGGGCGGCTCCCTGCGGGCTGAGCAGGCTTCTCTCCCCGTCTCCACGGGCCAATGCGGTCACCCTCCCCGGAGACATGGTCTCCAGGTCTAGGAACCGCCCGCAGCCGGCATGGACTGACGGGGGCTCGGCTGTGGAGAGAGAACCAGAGGCGACCACACCTTCCGATGGTCCCTTCCCATCGACCGCAAACCCAGAGGGAAGAACAAAGAGCAACCAGGGCGCTGGGATGAGCTTCTGCAAATAAAGGCAAATGCCACCACGGCCAGGCCAGTGCCGCTCAGCGACCGAGCGTCCAGCCAGGAACCAGGAGGTCACGGCTCCATCCCGGTCAGGGCATGTGTCCAGGATGCGGGCTCCATCCCCAGGAGGGGGCCTGCAGGAGGCAGCCGTTCCATGGTCCTCTCTCACGGTGGATGTTTCTCTCTCCCCGACTCCCTCCCTCTTTAAAATCAACAAAAACATGTATTTAAAAAGTAAAAATAAATAAAATAAAATAAGCCGCAGGGATGGCATCCTGAACCGCCTCCTCCTGTGACAAGGAGCCTCACGCCAAGCACAGGGCAGCGATCGTCAGCGACCGGCGTGAACACCGTGGCGTGTGGCCTGGTCCCAGGTCACACGCGAGGGAGGCCCCTGGCCTCGCCGGCGGCCAGGCTGCACTTCGGAGCGGAAGGAGGCGGCGGAGTCCCCGCAGCCGGGCGCAGGCCGCATGTGTCTCTTCCACGTTTCGTGGGGAGCTCGGGCGTGTGTATTCGTTCCGATGGGCCGGGCCTCGGCCCCCGGGCCCTCCCCTCGTTCCGAATCACAGGGGACGCGCAGGCCTGCCGCCGACCAGGCCCTCCCTTCTGACAGCCGTGCGATCGGGTCCGAGGCCACGTCTTCCGAGCGGCAGGCTGTGCAGGGACGGAGGCCGCGGGCCCAGCCGCAGACGGGATCCCGGCCGCTCGGACTGACGGACGAAAGGCGGACGTCCGAGGGGCCTCCTGCTTCCGGGCACGTCCTCCTGGGGCGATGACGAGGTACACACGGGGCCCGGCTCTCTCGTGTCTTCCGCCCTGACGCTGTCCCTTCCCACACGCCTGTCCTGACGGCTGCATGACGGCAGACGCCGGCCACGGCCGGACGCAGTGAGAACAGTTCGAGCGGAAAAGGCACTGAAATCGATGCGCGGCCGGCCGTCCCCTTCTCGCTCTGCCTGCCACGGACGGACGGACGGACGGACAGACGGACGGCCGGCCGTCCCGGTGTCGGGGAGGGAGCCAGCGGAGAGGACTGGGCGCAGGCAGACGCAGACAGACGGCTGACACGGCACGGGTGAGGAGGGGCCTTCCGGGCGGGGCCCCTGCCGCCGGCGGACGGACCGGAGGGAGCCCGTCTCTCTCTTCCATGGGAAATAACGCCAGCAGGCCGACAGGAACGGGGACAGCGTGACCCTCTTCTCAGAGGGACGCGGGCCCGGGCAGGGCGAGGCCTCCATCGGTCCCGGCCCCTAGTCCGCCTTCAGGTTGGCCTTGCCGGCCTCCCCGAGGCTGAAGTTGAACTCCTTGAACACCTGGATGAGCACGATGCCCACGGACACGGTGGTGAAGCCGCAGGCCATGCCCAGCGAGTCCACCAGCCCCACGTTGCTCCACTCGCGGAAGAGGATGGCGGAGGCCAGCAGGACCAGCGTGGTGAAGACCACGTAGTAGATGGCGCCGAACACGGAGGAGTCGAAGCACTCGAGCGCCTTGTTGATGTAGCGGAACTGCACGATGATGCTGCAGCCCAGCACGGCCAGCAGCACCAGGCACAGCCCCAGCGCGCGCCGGCTGCTCGGGTTGTTGTGCAGCAGGTCCTGGGCAGCCAGGCCGATGCCCTTGGTGGAGGGCACGGTGAAGCTGCCCAGCAGCGAGCAGATGCTGATGTACACCATGATGTTGGTGGGCCCGTGGGCCGGCGCGATCCAGAAGATGAGCAGCAGCAGCGTGAGCAGCACGATGCACAGGTAGCCCACGAACACTGCAAGACACGGGTGGCGAGCCGGCGTTTACCTGAGGCCTGAGGGGTCCCGGGTTCGATTCCTGGTCAGGGCACAGGCCTGGGTTTCGGGCTCAGTCCCCGGGGTGCAGGGGGAGGGGCGGGCATGCAGGAGGCAGCCAATCAATGGTTCTCTCTCATCGTTGATGTTTTTATCTCACTCTCTGAAATCAATAAAAATATATTTAAAAAGACACTGATATCACAAAAAAAAAGAATTAATAATGTTAACAATATATTTTTTTAAAAAAGTACTTTTATTGATTTCAGAGACGAAGGGAGAGGGAGAGAGAGAGAGAGAAACATCCACGATGAGACAGAGTCATCAGCAATGGCCAGTGTGGCTCAGTGGATAGAGCGTTGGCCTGCGGATTCAAGGGTCCCAGGTACCATTCTAGCTAAGAGCACAGACCCGGGTTGTGGGCTCAATCTCAGTGGGGGGCGTGCAGGAGGCAGCCGGTCCATGATTCTCTCTCATCAGGGATGTTTCTCTCTCCCTCTCCCTTCTTCTCTTTCTAAAGTTAAATAAAAACGTAGAAAAAAGCGAGCAGCCTCCATGGGGAAGGTGAAGGGAAGTCGCCCGGGGCCAGGGCTCCGTGTCACATGGTGGGGGGGGGGCGGGGACACGGGGCCGCCTGCCCCTGGCCGGCGGCGGGTCCCGGGGTCACGTCCCCGGCCCTCGGGCGGCAGAGGCTCACCGGGGTTGGTGAGCTTCTCCTCCAGCTCAGCCTGCGTGGTCACGCTCTCCGACTTGGGGGAGTGGATGATGAGCACGACGGAGCCCGCGCAGCTGAGCAGGCACCCCAGCTTGCCCAGGATGTTGAGCTTCTCCTTCAGGAGGTATGAGGCCAAAATGGACCTTCGGGGGAGGAGAGAGGGGTCCGGGCTGGAGCCGGGCCTCTGACCGGCTCCCACCCAGGAAAACCCACCTTCCCCGGCGGCCGGAGTTTACTGTTCAGCTTATTAGAGAAGAAAGATGATTCTGCTTGGGTGTTAATTCAGCACAAATGGGATTTTCATGCGAATTCTACGCATAACCAATGCCCGGTGAAGGTTATATACAACCAAATGTTCTATATCTAACCTATATTAAGGAGGAAAGTGGGATATTAAAATTGCTAAAATAATGACACGTAACTCGTGATCAAAACACGTAAGCCCTGGCCGGTAGCCCAGTGGTTAGAGCGGCCCCCTAAGCTGCCCGGCAGGGTCGTGGGTTAGATTCCCCGTTGAGGGCATGAACCTGGGTTGCAGGTTCGATCTCCAGACCTGGTCAGGGCGCACGCGGGAAGCAACCCATCAATGCGTCTTCTCTCTCTCTCCTTTCTAACTCTCTGTAGAAATCCCATCCTTGGGGGCGGATTAAAAAGATAGTAATTCACACAACTGAACGTGGAGGAATAAATTAAATACCGAAGAGCTTCTGCTTTTCACTCTTTGATCAGAAACACTGAACGTGAACAGTTTGTATCATCATCCGTCCATCTAAACAACCCGTCAGAAACCCCAGCACAGGGACGCCCTCTCACCCGAACGGCACGCCGAGGGCACCCAGGGGCGTCACCAGGACCGTGGGCACCGCCGTGTACGCCAGGAAGTTCCCGATCTGGCCGACGGCCACTGCGGAGAGAACCAGAGGGCGTCGCTCAGAACCGCGGGCCTCTCTCCCCCGCCCGCCCACAGGGGCTGTGCCCAGGAGAGCCTGGCCCGGGCATCGCACAGGCCCGGTCTGCGGGCTCGATCCCCAGTGCGGGGCGTGCAGGAGGCAGCATATCCGCGGCTCTCTCTCATCACGGACGTTTCTCTCCCTCTCCCTCTCCCTCTGAAATCAATAAACATCTATTTTCTGGAAGGAAGGAAGGGAGAGAGGGAGGGAGGGAGGGGAGGGGGGAGGGAAGGAAGGAAGGTCCAGCCCCCCCCACATAGGGTACTTACTTGCAATGGTGCCTGCCCACCACACCACGTCTGTTAAATAGGAGGTGCCTATGACAGAGAGAGGCACATGTCAGGAAAGCAAGAAGCCGGAGGTGGCCCTGGCCGGTGTGGCTCAGTGGATAGAGCGTCGGCCTGCGGACTGAAGGGTCCTGGGTTCGATTCCGGTCAGGGGCATGTACCTTGCTTGCGGGTACATCCCCAGTGGGGGGTGTGCAGGAGGCAACTGATCGATGTTTCTCTCATCGATGTTTCTAACTCTCTACCTCTATCCCTTCCTCTCTGTAAAAAAAAAAAAAAAAATATATATATATATATATATATATATATATATATATTTTTTTTTTTTTTTTTTTTTTTAAAAAAGACAAGCTTGATGCCATCAGATATGCCTTTAAAAACAGTATTTTAAAAATGTAAAGGAAGAAGAAGGCAGTGGTTGGCGAGCTGCAGAAAAGAATTCCATGACAACTGAACCAGACACAGTGAGGACGCTCAGCGCCCCCCACCTGCTTCCGATACCCCCTCCCCCAGCACCCAGGGGGGTGGAGCCTTCCCTGGCAGCGGGCCAATCTGGGGTGCAGGGGACTCCATCCCCCACACCGCCTGGCCTCCGAGGGAGAGCTGGCACCAGGCCAGGGGAGCGGGCCGCCCCCACGGCCTCCTCTCTCTGCTTCGTGTGGAAACAGGCTCAGGTGAGCCAGGCCCGGCTTCTCACCGCTCTCACCACCCTCCTTATCGGACATCTCCCCTGGGGCTGGCCGGCGGCCCACATGGCTACCGTGTCAGGCCTGGCAGGACCCTGGTGCCCTGAGCTGGCGGAGGCACAGGTCCGATCCCTCCGCTCCGAGGGCCTTCCAGAAAGCTCTCCGCTCTTCCCATAGAACGGGAGATCCAGCGTGGCTGGAGCAGAGTCACGGCCCGATGCCGGTTGGGGCACAGGCCCGGGTTATGGGCTCCATCCCCTGTGCGGGGAGGGCGTGCAGGAGGCGGCTGGTCCCCGAGTCTCTCTCTCTCTCTCTCTCCCCCCGGGGATGTTTCTCCTCGCCCTTCCTCTCTGAAATGAACACAGACATATTTTTAAAACGATCAACAGAACACCCACGACTGGCTCTCTCTACTCCCCGGCCCCGGCCCCCCCATCTGTCTCGGGAAGGCGCTCCAGGGCACATGGAGGGCTCTCAGAGCCGCTCCCCTGCGTCTGGAATGTGAGCTGTGGGATGAATGTCATTCTGCACCCGGGGCTCTCTTATTCCTTTCCGATGCCGTTATCTTTATTTACCTCTTCATCACTCACTTCTATTACTATATTTCTACAGGCTTCGAGAGGAAGGGAAGCATCCTGATGAGAGGGGAACACTCCACCCTGGGGATGGAGCCCGAAGCCCCGGCCTGGGCCCTGACCGGGCATCAACCTTGACCTCAACCGTGACCTCCGGGTTCCCAGGTCACCCCGAGCGCAGGGCGGGGCCCCGCGGGCCCATGTGGGGGTCACTCCCGGGCCAGCACCTCCTCCGCTCGGGGTCAGCGGGTTCACGCCCGAACCCCAGAAGGATCCCCGCCGGACCCGGCGCAGCGCCCCCAGGAGGAGGGTCCAGCCCCCTCTCCGCCCGCCCGGCCGGCCGGCCGAGCGCTCAGGGCCCCCGGGGCCGCGGCGGAACCCGGGCCACTTGGGGAGCCTGTCCCCCCAGGCGGTTTCCGGGGACGGACCCCGTCATCCCTCGGAACCAGGCCCCGCGGCCGCCACCCGGAAGGGAGAGCAGCGGCGGCGGCGACGGAACTCGCTCGGGGCGCCCGGGTCGGGGACGGGGGGTTTCCGGCTGCTTCCGGGCCGGTCCACGGCGGAGGCGGGACCCCGGGCGGGCGCGCTGGGGAGCTGACAGCGGCCGCCCCTCCACCCGCCCCCGCCCTCCCCGCCCTACCTCGCCGCTTGGCGCGCACGATGCCCTTCTTCTGCAGCACGAACGTGGACCCGTTCACCAGGCTCGACACCACGGCCACGCCCAGGCCGAGCGACACGGCGGCGGGGCTCGGGCCGCGCGCCCCCTCCCCGGCCACCGCCGCCGCAGTCCCCATTCCGTCCGCCGCTCTCTGCACCTGCGCCTGCGCGCGCCGACAGGGGGCGTGGCTAGGGGCGTAGCCTGGAACGACCAGGGGGCCTGGGCGGGGTGAGGAGGAAAGGGGCGGGGCCACACTGAGGGGCGGGTGCTGGGCGGGGCCAGGAGGGGACATTGAGGGCGGGCACTGGGAGGGGCCAAGAGGGGCGTGGGCGGGGCCACGTCGAGGGGCGGGCACTGGGCGGGGCCAGGAAGGGGTGGGGGCGGAACATACGCTGAGGGGCGGGAGCTGGGCGGAGCCAGGAGGGGATGGGGCGGAGCCACGTTGAGGGGCGGGCACTGGGCGGGACCAGGAGGGGATGGGGCGGGACATACGCTGAAGGGCAGGCGCTGGGCGGGGCCAGGAGGGGATGGGGCGGGACATACGCTGAAGGGCAGGCGCGGGGCGGGGCCAGGAGGGGATAGGGCGGGGCCAGCGCGGAGGGCGGGATGGAAAGGGCGGCTGTGTCGCTGTGTCCCAGGGTCCTGGACCAGGGAGGGAGCAAATCTTTTTTTTATTTTTTTATTTTTTTAAAAAACGTCCTATGTGACAGATTTGATTCATTGTGTGAATCCTTTTCATCTTCTAAATTCTTTTTTATTTTAAAAAATATATTTTATTTATTTTCTTACAGAGAGGGATAGAGAGTCAGAAACATCGATGACAGAGAATCATCAACCAGCTGCCTCCTGCGCGCCCATCACTGGGGACGTGCCGCAACCAAGGTCCATGCCCTTCACCGGAATCGAACCCGGGACCCCTCAGTCCGCAGGCTGACGCTCTATCCACTGAGCCACACCGGTTTCGGCATGGGAACAAATTTTTTTAATCCTCAACCCACAGCCTAGGTCCGGGCCGTGACCGGGAATCAAACCAACAACCTTTCTTCGGTGTCCAGGCCGAATCCCTCGAGTTTTCATTGACGACCGAGTAACTTTCCAGGGAGAAATTCGGCCATAAAAACGCAATGTTACCTATTGTAAACGCCTCCAAACACGTTGGGGTTATTAGTGATAGATCCTCCCTTCCTCCAGTTGATGGACAGACGTAAACCCCACCTGCGGCCCGACATTCCTGAGCTCTGAACGGCCAATCAGCCCCTGCCAAATACCCTGAGCCCCCGACTCCTAAGTCCCAGTCCCTGATCACCAATCAGCGTGTGCTGAGTGCCCTAAGCCCCCTCCCCTATCCTTAAAGGTGCTTGTACCCCGGCCCTCGCTCTTTCCCGCGAGCTCTCTCTCTCTCTCTCTCTCTCTCTCTCTCTCTCTGGAAGCAGCCAGCGGGGTACTCTTCCCTCCAATAAAGCCTGTGTGTGTCCTGCCATCCCTGTCTCCACACTTCTCTATTTCACCTGTCAATTAGCAGATTCCAAGACCATGTGCAGAGGGAGAGTTTATTTATGGTTTGATACACACACACACACACACACACTGCTACCTGACAAGGTGTCTGCCTGCCCAGCATGGCTCCCGGGGTGGGGGTACACCACGTGCATGCTCACTATTCTAACTCGAAACGTGACGACAGGAGGAAAAGGGTAGACAGCCTCGGGGGAAGGGACCCTGAGCCACACGGGCCGTGTGGGGCGGAGGGCGGGCTTGATGCTTTCTTACGAGATGTGTCCTGGAGGGGTGTCTCCGGCAGGTGATCTGTGGTCACGGTTGCCGTGTTTCCCCAGCATTCAGCGGGATACGGGTGTGGGTGCCCCACGGTCTACACTCCCTCGCACCCCCGTGTGAGCGAGCACCTCTTCTCCTCCCGAGAGCGGTCCACGGGGGCCTGTTCTCTGGACGCGGTGACGGCTCAGGCTCCCTTCCGTCTTCCGAGGAGGCGTCCCCGTTAGTTCCATCCCATCACCACGTGGACAACCAGCAGGTAGCACATGGCCACCAGGCAGGAGACCACCATCATGGGGAAGCCCAGTCTGGAACACACAAAGACAGGGGCATGGTGGGGCCTGCCGCCCGGTGACAGCCCCGAGAACCAGGAGGTTGCTGGTTCAATGCCCGGTCAGGGCACATGGCCGGGTTGCGGGCTCCATCCCAAGAGGGGGCAGACAGGAGGCAGCCGATCTATGTTTCCCTCTCTCTCTCTCTCTCTCTCTCTCTCTCTCTCTCTCTCTCAAACAAAATGAAAAAATAAATACATAAAATAGCAGCCGGGCCAGAGATGGCCTCGTTGGTTAGAGCATTTTCCCAGGACACTAAGGTTGCAGGATACTTGCCCCGATGAATGCGTAACCCACTGGGACAAGCACGCCTACCCCTTGCACTTAGGAAACGCGCTGCTCTCTTTCAGGAAAAAAAATCCGTGGCCTCGGCGCCGCCCTCTCCACAGGCCGGGGCGTACCTGAAGAAGTCCGCGAAGGAGAAGCCGTAGCCGTGCTGCTCGGCGATGCCCGCGCAGACCACGTTGGCCGACGCCCCGATCAGCGTCCCGTTGCCTGGAACCAGATCCGGTGATGAGGCCGGGCCCGCGGGGGCAGGTGAGGCACTGAGACCCGGTCGCAGGCGGAGTCTGGGTCTCTGTGCCCCCGTCCAGGCCCGCCATATTCTGAACCAGTCGTCGGCAAACCGCGTCTCCAGAGCCACATGCGGCTCTTTGGCCCCTTGTGTTTTTTATTAAAAATATATATTTTATTGATTTCTTACAGAGAGGAAGGGAGAGGGATAGAGAGCCAGAAACATCGATGAAAGAGAAACATCCATCGGCTGCCTCCTGCATGCCCCCCACGGGGATGTGCCCGCAACCTGGGCTCATGCCTTTGACCAGAATCGAACCCGGGACCCCTCAGTCCGCGGGCCGACGCTCTGTCCATGGAGCCACACCAGCCAGGGCGCATCATGGAAGTCTCTCTCTCCCTCTCCCTTCCTCACTCGAGTTAATAAAATAAATATTTTTAAAAAAACCCCAAAAAACCCAAAATGACCTCCATGTCTCGGGCCAAGCATGCTAACCTGAGCTGTAAGTCAGGGCGCACGCAGGTGGTCCGGCCATTCAGCGGGGATTGGGGGGTGGGGGTGGGGACACGGGGGACCCCAGCAGCTTCCCGGTCGCAGCTGGAGATGGGTGTCTGCTAGGAGGCCACCGAGTCCCCCTGCATCCCCTCCGCCCGCACAGACATCCTGCCCCCAGCCCCGGCTCACCTCCCAGGCAGGCGCCCAGGGCCAGTGCGTACATGAGGGGCGGCGCCGGCAGGCTGACCTCGGGGTCCTGGCTCAGGTTCAGGAGCACAGGGATCTGTGGAGGGAACAGGGCCCACGTCAGGCCCCTGGGACCCGGGGAGCTGCCGCCGAGACCCACCTCCTCCACCACCACCGCCGCCCCCGCCGCCGCCCGAGGGAACCAGAGGGCAGTGAGTGTGACACCCACGGCCGGAGCGGGAGCAGCCTTCTGACCCTGGGCCCCCTTCTCCTCGCCGCCCCGTGGTGGCTGCTGCGGGTGGTTTTTGTTGTTAACTCTCTCTCCCTCTCCCTTTTTCTCTGTAAAAAGTCAATAAAATATGTCCTATTTTTAAAAAATATGTTTTATTGCTTTTTTTTTTTTACAGGGAGGAAGAGAGAGGGAGAGTTAGAATCATCCATCCGCTGCCTCTTGCACACCCCCTACTGGGGATGTGCCCGCAACCCAGGCACATGCCCCTGACCGGAGTCGAACCCGGGACCCTTCAGTCTGCGGGCTGACGCTCTATCCACTGAGCCACACCGGTTTTGGCAATAAAATATATTTTAAAGAAAGAAAGAAACAGAAGCAAAACGGAGGAGAGGGTGCTGTCCGTGGTGCTGACCCCGCGTGCGAGGCCGTGGTCCTGAGCTCCCAGCCAGCCAGCCGCCTGGCTCTGCCACCCGTGCCCTAAGCCTGCGGGTGCAGCCCGGGGTCGGGCCGGGGTCCCGTGCGGCCTTCCCCCGCAGGAAGGGGGCCCCCCGAGGGGGTGCGGCCCGTACACACGCACGGGAACCCCAGGACGCGGGACTCACCATCGTGGCCGTGAAGGGGATGTTGTCAATCAGGGAGGATGCGATGGCCGACACCCAGACCACCAGCACGATGGCGGCCGCGAGGCGCCGGTCCTCGGGGACCATCTGCAGGGGCGGGCGACAGCGGGGCTGGCACGTCGGCCACACGGGCTCGGGCCGCCCCGCACGCGTGCAGGAGGGCCCCGGGGGCTGGCCAGCCCGCCTGCGCTTCCCAGGCTGCCGGACCCTCCCGGGAGCCTGGCCGGGCCCCACAGGGAGCGTGTGCTGGCCACACAGCCACGAACCAGCCCTCCTGCCACCTCGCTCACACGGGTGTCTCGACTGCTGTCTGTCTCAGACAGGTTAAATTTTGTTTAATATATTTTTATTCACGTCAGAGAGGAAGGGAGAGGGAGGGAGAGACAGAAACACCCAGGGTGAGCGAGAACCCTGGATCGGCTGCTCCTGCACACCCCACCCTGGGGATCAAGCCTGCAACCCAGGCATGCGCCCTGACCGGGAATCGAACCGTGACCTCCTGGATCACAGTCAACCTTTCACCCCTGAGCCACACCGACTGGACCTGCAATTATATACATTTTTTAAAAAGTCTCCCTTCAGCCGAAACCGGTGTGGCTCAGTGGACTGGGGGTCCCAAGTTCGATTCCAGTCAAGGGCATGTGGTACCTTGGTTGCGGGCACGTCCCCGATGGGGGTGTATAGAAGGCAGCTGATCGGTGTTTCTCTCTCATCGATGTTTCCAGCTCTCTATCCCTCTCCCTTCCTCTCTGTAAAAAAAAAATCAATGAAACATATTTTAAAAAAATAAAGTGTTAAAAATAAAAATATATATATATTAAAAAGAAAAGTCTCCCTCCATCGCTAGGTAACCCAGAATAAAACAGGTACTCTGTCTTACATAACGAATGGGACCTACTCTCACCAGAGTTTTTAAAGCTTTATTTTACAAAATAAGACGGAACCCCCTGGCTGGAGCCCCCTGTGCGGCCGCCCGGGCGGTAC